CCTCTCTGTGCAAAGGGCCTTCGGGAAGGCCGCAAAGACAAGAGAGAAGACTGTTTGGAACAGAAAGCAGAGTTATGTGTCCTGGATCCCGCTTCCATCACTGAGAAGAAATACCCCCTCTAACCGCCCCACCCTGTTGCCATCAAGTTGATGTGACTCATACCGAGCTCACAGGTGCTCTTGTGGCACAAGGCTGAGGACCAAAATATGTGAGGAGGCTAACCAAAAAGTCAGCAGTTCAAATCCCCTAGTCTTTCCTTGAAAGGATAATGGGCAATTTCATCCTATAAAGATTTACAGGCGAGGAGACACGATGGAGGGTCATTATGAGTCAGAATTTGCAGACAGTATAAGGCCTTCAAGACATCTCCAGTGGCCTAGAGGCTAAGGAGTGGTACTGCCAATCCAAAGTCAGGCGGTTTGAATCCATCAGCTGCTCAAGAGAGGGATGGACAATCTCCTAGGACCTGTACAACTGATGATCTTTGAAAACCTCTGAAGGGTCAACTACCAGTCTGTTTGACTCGATGACACATAACCATGCAGGCTTTTGAAGCTGCCATCTTTGCAGACGCCAGCGCAGACGCCGACCTACGGCCTCCTGTGTTCCTCTTGGAGTGCCCGGTGGATTCTGTCGACTTGTTGGTTAGAAGCCCAGCACTTAATTGACTTTCATTTCAGGTCTCCTTGAAATGAAATCCACTGATACTGTGATTTATAATATAGCATCTCTGAACCAATCAGCTGCTTGAGAACTGACAGTGGCTGGATGAATGGATAGAGCGGAGTTTAGGAACGCAGCTGCCCCCAGCAGGTCACCATGGGCCCGTCCAGCCTCCTTGGGCCCCACTGCTCTGCTCTGACATCTTTTCTAGTTGCTGCATAAGCATTTCAAGGGGCCTGCGACAGGCTGGGACAGAGATGATTCCTCACCACTTCCTGGGGGGCAGGGAGAAGCTGCTTGGATCCTTGGCAAATCTCTAATAAATCGCTCAGCTGCCTGGCTCCCAGTGGCTACTAGGGGCTTTTTATGTAGAAGAGAGAAACACGGTGGATAATGAGAATTAATAAACCCAATACCAAAGTTTTCCCATATCAGATATTCTTTTTTCCTTCATTAGCTAAACAGAAGGGGGGGAAATGTATGTGATAAGATTTCATGGAAGCAATCCTGTCCTCCCGAGCCTTACAGCACACAGGCAGATTCTGGGAAGAATCAGATCCACAGTGAGAGTTACCTCCTGCTTTCGCGGCCTGAAGGAGCCCGTGGGCACAGTGGTTACAGCCAGGTTGCTATCTACAGACTAGGGATTTGAACTGGCTCAGAAGAGGCACTGTGTGTGTGTGTTAATTACAGCCTGGGAAGGCCTACAGGGCTGTTCACCCCTGTAGGGTGTCTACAAATTGGAATCAACTCAACAGCAGTGGGTTAGTTTTGTCCTTTAAGTTTTGGTTTGTTTTCTTGTGTTGTTTCGTCTTTCCATATACCCAGAGACTGCAGCTTTCAATATGGATTGAAGATCAATATCAAGAAAACAGATTCTCATCGCTGGGCCTATTGGCAGCATAATAATGGAAGGTGAGATTGAGACTGTTGACAGCTTCAGTTTGCTTGGCTCCACAATCAACACTCTTGGCACCGGCTGCCGGGAAATTAAGATGAATTGCATTGGGAAAGTCTGCTGTCATAGACCTCTTCACAGTACTGAAGAGCAACGGTGTCAGTGTGGAGACTAAAGTGCGCCCGATCCGGGCCATAGTTTTTGGAATTACTTGCTAAGCATCAGAAAGCTAGACAATGACAAGGGAGGACAGAAGGAGAATTGATGCCTTTGAGCTGTGGTTCAGGAGAAGAATATTGAATATACCATGGACTGCCAAGAGAATGAACAGATTTGTTCTAGAGAGGGTGAAACCAGGCTCCTCCGTGGAGGCAAGTATTCTGAAGCTTCATCTCACATACTATGGGCATGTTGCAAGGAGGGACCAGTCCTTGGAGAGGGATGTCATGCTTGGGAGGGTGGAGGGACAGCGCAGGAGAGGAAGACCCTCAAAGAGATGGATGGATTCAGCGGTAACTGGGGTTAGGTGTGTCTGAGACAGTGATATTGGCACAGGATAGAGCAGGGTATAGGGCTGTTGTACATAGGGTTACTATGAGTCATAGACCACTCGACGTTACATAACAACAACTAGAGGCATCTGGTGGCCTAGTGGTAAGGAATTGCACTGCCAACCCAAAGGCATGTGGTTTGAATCCACCAGCAACTCTGCGCGAGAAAAATGGACAATCTCCTCCTGTGTGATTAACTGCCTCTGAAAACCTACTGGAGGGTCAACTATGGGTTGGTTCCAATTCAACAGTACACAACAACAAAGGCATCAAAGGGCACTCTGTTGGCCTAGTGATTAAGGAGTTGTACTGCCAATCCAAAGGCAAGCAGTTCAAATCCACCAACAGCTCCCCAAGGGAAAGGGGAGCAGTCTCTCATGTGATTTACAGCCTCACCTGAGCCCATGCCTATTTTGGCCTCACAATAGCTCAAGCACAATGTTGAACAGATGAGGCGAGAGTAAACACGCTTATCTTGTTTCTGATTTTAAAAGGAAAGCATTCAACTGTTCACTATTCAGTAGGATGCTAGCTGAACTGTTAACATGAATGGCTGTTCACTTCATCAGAAACACAGGCATGGGGGGTTCATCCTTTGCCCAGCCTGGTCTCTCCCAGATCCTACAGCTTTGGCTCCCAGGGCAGAGACAGAGCTGGTTTCCAAAAAAAAAAAAAAAGACTTGCTCAGAAAAATATCCACTTTAATTCAAACAAACAAACAAACAAACAAGAACACACATCAGCGAATGACTCCTTTCTCAACCTCCTCTGGATTTGCATGAGGATGTAGACAGAAGCAGGGCACCGTGTAACCTGGTGGAGGACGAGTCCTGTGCACACGTTTGTAGAGGATTTTCTATGGACTGTGTAGTCCCCATGAACCCAGCTCTCCTGGAGGATACCAGCTGACCTACCCGTCGCCCCAGGACACGATCCTTAGAGGACCTCTGGGTTCCAGGCCCTGGCTCCACCACCTTCTTCCAGGGAACTCCTGGGGACATGGTTTCCTCATTTGTAAAATGGGAATGAATACTGGGAATCTTGGTTTTTTTTTGCATCTTACAGATGGTGCATTTTTTCAAAGGGTGAACATTTGTGGCACCCCTGGTGTGACCCATACGGGGTTTCTACAGCAAAAATGGCACCTTTCTGGGGGCACCACCAGCACGCCATGGAAGGCAGTCTCCTCTCCCGCGATTCACAGCCTCCTCATAAGCCTCTGGGGGGTCAGCTGAAGGGGTTCCACCTGGATGGTAATGCTCTGGTCAAACAAATCTCCTGGTGCCATTTCCCCAACACCATGTGCTCACTTCAAGTCTGTGGCGCATTTCGGTCACCCTCGAAACATTTCAGACTTTCCCCATAACGCTACTGCACATTTACCAGATTACACTGCAGTGTGAGCACGACTTTGATGTGCAAACTTGGATGTGACAAAAATGCAGTGACAGTGATGGGTGAGCTTTTAAAAAGTGACGCTAGTGCTGGACCAGGGAAGGAGTTAACTTGTTCTGAATTAGTATCCCCTGTCCTAGAAGCCCTACTGAGCCCTGGGGGCACCGTGACTAAGGACTCTGCTGAAAACAGAAGGGTCATAGGAAGAGAGAGTCTATTTTCCTACTGTGACGCAGTTGGTGGATTCGAACCACCAGAGACACAGTCGCCGGTTGGCAGCAACTCCCTATCGACTATGCCAGCAGACAGAGCTCTGTGGACCTATTTTCAAACTGCTGCTGAGTCAGTCCGACTCAGAGCTGACTGTCCAGTGGGTTTTCAGAGGCTGGAAACCAGACCGCAGGAGATGGCTCAGCTTTCCGCTGAGGGATTCGAACCCTGCACCTTTGGGTGGGCGGCACAGCTCCTTATCTACCAGAGCTCCCAGGTCGCTCGAAGGCAGCACATCAGCGTCACCAGGGATCAGAATGTACTGGGTGGAAGTGTTTTTAGAAAGGCAGTTCTGTATTTGTTAGAGGACAAGCACACAGGCTAAGACGAAGGGGCTGGGAGCTTCCTCTTAGGGAAAGTGAGGGCTGAGCTCCAGCAGACAGAAGGGGCAGGAGGGCAGGCGGCACGGCTGCCGAGCTCTCAGGAGCCTGGCTCTAGAGCAGAGCAGGCACCCGGGCTTCAGAGAACCGTCCAGAAGCAGGGCATCCATGAGGTGCCTCCTTGTGCCCAGCGCAGGTTGCCCCCCTCCACACACACACAGCTGGCCACCTTCTCCCACACCTGGGACACCTTATACCCCACCTTCTCCTGGCGCTCCTGCTGCCCGACTGAGTCCAGGGTAGGCGCCCTGCCCTCTGCAGTGGCCCCTGGCCCTCCTCACCATGTGGGCACCGTGCCCTCTGCGGTAGCCCTTGGCCCTCACCACCGGGCGCCCTGCCCTCTGTGGTAGCCCCTGGTCCTCCTCACCATGTGGGCATCCTGCCCTCTGCAGTGGCCCCCGGCCCTCCTCACCACCGGGCGCCCTGCCCTCTGCGGTAGCCCATGGCCCTCCTCACCATGTGGATGCCCTGTCCTCTGCTCACTGCGTGGACACCCTGCTCTCTGCAGTGGCCCTGGCCCTCCTCACCACGTGGGCGCCCTGCCCCCTAGGGTGGCCCCCCTGCCCTCCTCACCACGTGGGCGCCCTGCCCCCTAGGGTGGCCCCCCTGCC